GGAATGTCGGTCTCAAAATATTTTCAACAGCAATGTACACACATAGGAATTCTGCTGTTTATTCAGTCCTTGAGATTCCTTATGAGCTAAGACCTTTTCTGATAACTTGAGGATCTGACAGTGTCTTTCTATTGCCTCCTTTTCAGAATGGCTGGCAGGCAGGACTCAGCAGCCGTGCGTCACTCTTACACAAGAGTTCAGAATAAGACAGTGCCTTTTCTTCCCAAAGAAGACTGATTCACTGGAGAAATACGAAGCCATCTGATTTTATACCACTTAAAAATAATCCATCTGGTCTCTTCTCCTTGGAGAATTTCTTTTTTCCTCTTAGACAAGTTACTGTAATATGCCTCGTTAATAGTTTCTGATTCATGTTACTCAGAACAAGATGAAATCTTTCAATTTCTAACCTCATTTATTTTCTCAGCCCTGGAAAGCTTTTTTTTTTTTCTTTCTCCAGTGTATTGATTGTTTTGGTCACAGACAAGCTTGCCTTTCACCCAAGCAACAGCCCTGAAGTCAACCTTGCTTATTTTTTTTTCCTGAACCACAGAAAGACTTTCTTTTCTTCCTCTTCTGTGACACATCTTTACTTATTGCGGATGGAATTAAAAAGTAACGAAAAATGTCAGAAAATAGATAACAGATGGATCTATTTCTTGGTGAAAGAAATCACAAAGAAAAGTGTTATATTAAAATGTCCCTGCTTAATAAAGCATAGGGTTTTGTGTCATTTCCTAGAGGCTAATTTGTACAAATGTATGTGTGTACATGATATGAAAATCACATATGTATGTATATATGTGTTTATTTATTATGCAAAGCTCTGAGTTTTTCAAGTGGTGGGGACGGTTTTCTTAATAATGTGTTTACTATTCATTTAATCTGTACTCTGAGCAGTATATGTTGCAAAAAAAGGAGGAGGAATACAATTTGTAAAACAAAGCATCTTACGCAGATCACTTCACGGAGGAGGGAACCCCGTCACCAGAAAAACTACAATCGCCTAATTTAGACACCTGCGCGTGTGTAGGTGCTGGTGGCTGGGGAGCCCAGTGTGGGCGGGGCTGGGAGTGAGGGCAAGGGCTCACTGGGTGTCCACAGTGGCTGTCAGGGGCACCCAGAGGAGGGCTTTGAAAGATGTGGACTCCCGTCTGGGCTCCTTTCTGAGAAAACGTATGTATTTGCCAGGAAGCCGGCTAAGGTCAGATGTAGACCAGGGGCTCTCAAACTGGTCTACACCCAGCTGGGCCCAAGGCTGGCATCCTGCCAGGGTGTCCAGCCCAGTCCACTTGCGCTGAAGGCACTGAAAACCTGGAGGGTTGCCCACAAGCTTAGGCCCTCACAGTCCCTGGTATGGAATCACCTGGAAGGTTTGCTAAAACACAGGTTGCTGGACACCACCCCAGAGGGTCTGAGTCAGCAGACGTGGGCTGGGGCCCAAGACTCTGCCTTTGTAACAGGTGCCAGGTGAGGAGGGTGCTGCTGTCCAGGGACCACACCTCGAGAACCACAGACTGCTGTGTAGATGAGGGCTATGTGGACCCTGAACCCAAGCCTTGGCCTTTCGGCACCAAGAGCACTCAGCTCCCACTTTAAGAATCGGCAGAAGACGAAGGCTTCTGGGGATAGCAGGCTCACAGTCGCAGGACGGCGTGATTGATGGGAAGTGAGAGGCATAAACACTCCCAAATCTCCAGCGCGGATGCTGCGTGTGCCTGGGGTAAGGGGCAGGTGACGGCACACGAGGGTGGGACCCACACCCCTCTGTCCGATGCGCTCATAAAGATGCTTGGAGACTAGCCGGGCACCGAGCTGCCCCGAGAACCCGGGAAGACAAGCCAGGGAGCAGGCTCTGGGCTGCGTCACTGCAGCCGGTCCACGTGGAGGTGGGGAGCGGAACCCACCGGCCCCCAGCTGGTGGCGCCCGGAGGCTGTGCTGCCAAAACCGACAAGCGTCTCCCCTCCTGCAGGGATGGGGCCGCCACCAGGACTGTCACTGCCATCACCCGGGGGTCTGACAGAGCCCAGCACCCAGACCTTCACCAGGTCCAGGTCACTGCCAAGCAAGTGCCTTCGCGAGTGTGGGGAGCCCATCTTAGCGAGCCTCAGCAGTGGGTTCCGCTGCCGCTGCCTGTTCTGCCCAGAACACAGCCTACCATGGCAGTCAAACCTGGGGGTCCCTCTTGTCCCCACACCCCTCCACCAGTGCCCTGCCTCCAAAGGGACAGCATGCCATCCATCCTCCTGTTCCCCCTTGTTGGTGATGTCTTACCCTCCACTGGCTTCTTTCTCACAGTACACAGAGACATTCAAATCTCCCTTAATGAAAGTATTAAATCATTCAGATTAACACTTTATAAAACTACTATAAATCCAATAATTTTATAAATATTATCTATATATATAAATATCATAATTTTACAAATTATTATAAAATTATGAAGACAGTCATAAAAATTAAAAAAAACTTTTAAAGCTCAACCATCTCAATGCAGGGCTCCCTTCAGCTCCTTCCTTTCACAGATGAGCACCTGGACAAGTCATCACCTCCCAGGTGGCTGTCTACTCATGCCAGTCGGGCTTGTCTCTGCCACGTGACTGCTTCTACTCATGTTAGGGTCCCAACAGGCATCCAATCAGTCATTAATCTAACAGGTACCTACTGAGCTGTGCGTCAAGCACGCTTCTATAATGCTCGGGAGGTAAAGGTGAGCCCGGTGAAGATCTGTGCCCCATAAAGCGTGCAGTCTAGCCAGGGTGAGGAGCAGAAATGCAATACACATAATCAGTAAGTCAACTCCAGGGCACGCTAGAATTGGATGAGAGCTAAACGGAAAAAGGGAGGGATGAGGAGTTGGAAGCAGGGCAGAAATTTATGTTACAGGCCAAGTTCAACGTGCTGGGTCCAGATCTCTTCCCTCAATTAAATTCGAAATGGATGAATGTCAAGTATATCAGCTTTGATAACATATTCATGGGTTTTTTAATTGCAGGGCTTTCAAAGAAATCCTATGCAAATTCCGTTTAGGAAAGAACCCAGCCTGGTACTCAAAGCCCAGGAAGAGTCTGTAGTCTCCAAAAGGGAGTGACTTTAAGATCCAGGGAAGGTCCCCACCACCCCCTTTACTCCTGCAGCCTGGACGTTCATTACATCACGGGCACACGAAGCCTTTCATTCCACACAGGGTGTAGGTGGGGGGCTAGTGGGGTGTCTTAAAGGTACTGCCCAGTTAGGGATAAACAAGTGAAATCAGACACAGAGAGCAGGCTTTGATGAGATAACTGCCCGGTAGAACACGAAGGAGAATGCAGCAGAGGAAGGAGGAAGAAATGCTATAAACTTAAACCTTACAATTGTGTCCTGAATTGTTTCCAACAAGCTGGCTTTCCAGGGGCTCAGAGACGCAAAGGTTCAAGACAAGGGGGCCACAGGGACACAGAGACCCCCAGCTGGGCACCCCCAGCGCCCCTCTTTGTGGTGTGGGAGAAGATGCACCAGGTAAGTGGTTACCAGGTTCTAAAGGAATCGCCCCCCTCTCTGGGGTTCATTTATTTTAACTCTAAAATGAAGATGTTGGAATGCATCAGTATGTCTAACTTTCATATTTCTTTTTACAGTGGAGTTCACTTTCAAACAAAATCTGAAGCAAAACCCACTATATAAGACACCTAACAGTGGAGCTGATATGGACCGGGGCCAGCAAGAGACCCTTTCTTCCTCATGCCCCCTCTCCCCTGGTCCTCCGTAGGAGCGCTTTGGAGCAAATGGAGAGTCCCACAGAACCTGGTCCTTCTCTCCTCTGGCATCTTATGATTCTATGATGTACGTGAACTGTCAAAACACGTAGGATGGAAATTCTAATTTAAGGCGATGATTTAATTTTAAGAAAAAGTTAAGGAGAGAATGAAACTAGATGATAGCGGGAATCAAATTCTCAGACTAATGTCCATATTGGGCCACCCAGGCGTGGACAAATTGTCCAACCTTTCAAGGAGGGGGAAGCTCAGGTTTTCCCCTGTCTCGGGAGGGGTGACAACCCTGCTGGAACATTTTCAGGAACAGGAGTCAGGGGCATGATTCTGTCATTCACCAGCTAAAGAAGCTTTAAATATGCATAAAGGTTGACCAGGTGGTTCTGCTGACAAACATGAATAGACCGAGAGGAAAAGGCGCCATGTCACAAACCTTGATTCCGAGTTCGATATTTTCTCCTCCATACACATCCATCCCAGGGTCCAGAAGACCAATTTCACCAAAGAACTTCCTGTTGACCACAAACGAGCAGCCAATCATGGCTGGTGTCCTGCAGGAGAGAGAGAGAAGCTACAGTTATGTGATACACACCCAACGGAATATTACTCAGCCGTGAGAAAGGGAAATTCTGCCCTTTGCAACAACAGGGGTGGACCTTGAGGGCATTGTGCTAAGCAGGATAAGTCAGAGAAAGACAAATACTGTATGATCTCACTTATACGTGGAATCGAAAAGAGACAAACTCACAGAAACAGAGAGTAGTCTGGTGGTCACCAGAGGCTGCAGACAGAGGAACTGGGGAGAAGCTGGTCCAAGGGTCTAAATGTGCAGTTAGAAAATAAACAAGTTCTGAGGATTTAACGCACTGCGATTATCATTAAGAATACAGTATTATATACTTCAAATCTGCTAAGAGGGTAGATCACCAAAAAGAAATGATAATTATGTGAATTGCTAGAGTGTTAGCTGATGCTATGGGTGGTAATCTTATTGCAATATACAAGTGTATCAAATCAACACTCTGTACAACTTAAACTTACGCAATGTTATATGTCAATTATATCTCACTTGAAGAAGATGACGGGGAGGGAGGGAGAGGGGAAAAAGGAGCAGCTGATGCTAAAAGCTTAAAGCCCTTCCTCCTGCACCATCCTAACAGGTACTCGGTCCTGCTCTGGCAAATCTAGTAATTTCCTTGAAGGCCTCAATTCCCACATCTTTCTCTCCATAATGCTTTCATGTTTCAGCTTCAGACAAACTCGTGGACTTGAAACATTTAGGGATAACCCTGCTCCTTGGTATCTGCACAGGGATGGGTCTCAGACCCCCCGTGGTGTCTGCAAACACAGGAACTGGTTCTCAGGGCACTTTGGGGACAGCTGTGTGACAGGATGAGCCTCCTAGGCAGTCTCAGAGCAGCTCGAAGGTGAAGAACAAGATGCATCCGCCCCCTGCCCCGGGTGGGGGTGGGGGGAGAAGAGCTTCACAAGCCAAGTGGGAAGGGAAATGGGGGAGGGGAAGGTCAACGGCAAGGGGTCAACCGCCACATTCTGGTGGGAGGAAGTGGATCAGGGCGCTGGTTTTCCAGAAAAGAAGAGACTCAGAGGAGATGCCTGGTGCCCAAGGGGGTCAGTCATAAATTGCAGAGAGAAGGGCTGCGGGGCGGGAGAGGCGAAAAGCATACGCAGGGTGGGGGGTGCAGCTCCACTGGCGCACCCGTACCAGCTATACCCGGACAGCTACCGCTCGCCACCATCAAGCGCTTCCTGCAGCCCCTGGCCCCTCTGAGAGAAGCAGCTGGCTGCTAGCCTGGAAAAGCACCGAGCCCAACCCCGGTCTCAGTTAACCGAACCAGGAATGAGCACTGATCCCGAACCGGGTCAATCAGATTATGTTTTTTTCTGACACTTGGAATCGAGACACCGTCAGGAGCTAGAACTAGATTAGAGTCCCATCTATCTGCAGGGCTCAGGCTGCCGTTTGGGGACAGCTCCGGTGGTCCCTGTGCACTCGGATGGCTGAGCAGAGGGAGGCAGGCCCCCCGTGGAGGTGTAAGAGCACGGGGTGGGGTGGCAGGCTGCCTGGTGTCTTTGGGGGCCTGGCTCCGCCCTCTGCCCCTGAGTCATGTAAGAGTTCCCTGTTTTTTCTATCTGTCCTACTTGACCTAAATCATATTAGATTGGTCTCTGTTCTTTGCAACCAAATGGTGATGATGACACAAGCTGCCCTCCCCCCACCCCCATCCCACCTGACTTATGACCTGGAGGAGGGCGGATGTTTTATCACACAGCCAGAAGACACAAACTGCAGAGAAGATTCGTTCTGGGAGGCCTAAAAGCCAGGGTCATCTGAGTGAAGGAGAAAAGCCAGTCACCTGTGTGCTTAGAGATGGGAGGTGCAGTCCTGGGAGGGTGGGAGTGTGCAGAGAAGGGGGGAGCGCTGGTGTCACTCCAGTCTTCTAGAGCAACTGCTGAACACATTGAGAAATTCTGAGACATTAGAACAATCTCTCCAACTCCTAAGTTTAAATATTGAAAATTCTCCACATTAACACGCATGGGTAATTAAGATCCTGCTCCGATAACTTCTAACCCCTTGAGGGCAAGCCCAAGGGGTGGCTCTGGGCACAGCCCCATCAGTGAAAAAAATGTTTCTCTGAAACTGGCTCCGTCCGAATCCACCTGTATCAGCATCACCTGATGGCTCCTTAGAAAATGCAGATTCCTGGGTGTGGCCCAGAACCATGGAACCAGGCTTACAGAGAAGGGACTCAGGAATTTGTGTTTGTACCAGCAGAACCGGCCTGTGGAGCCGTCTCCCTCGTGAACCGTCGGGTCTCCAAGAGCAGAGAAGTTATCCCCCTAATTTCTCGTTGCAATCCCAGGACGGAGTGCCTTGCATACACAGAGCTAGGCACTGCTGAATGAATCAGTGAGTGTAACAGATCTGGGTGACTGTCCCTGGTGGGGAAGGGCTTCATGATGCCCCAGGGACAAACTGGTTGACCCGAACCAGAGCCCAAGGACAGCAGGGGAGGGTGCTGTAGCTAGGGGAGGGAGGGAAGAGGGAAGGGAGAGAGGGAAGGGAGGAAAGAACAGAGAAGGAGGGAAGGAGGGGGAGAGATGGAGGCGGGAGGGAAGGATTCAAAGCACATCACTTTCACTGTCAAGGACACAGGCTGCTTCTTCCTTCCAGATACATCTCAGTTTGCCCTTTAGGAAACATCTTTCCCCATCACGCAGTCTGATGTTTTAATATAACTGGCTTTATCTGGATGATGTCTTCCAGCTATGGTGGCAAGGAGAGAAGGGTTCACAGTGTGAGTCACCCTGGGTCCCTACCTGCTGCTCACCACTCTGTCCAGCATCAGAAGCCCGAGGACTCCCTATGACAGAACGGAGAGGTCCCCTCCTGCCTCCTCATTAAAACTGGGCCACAGCAGCTGCTCAGGCTGGCACGAGGCCCCACAAGAGGCCACCGCCAAGCAGGCCTCTGTCTGCATCCTGGCAGGATGTCAGAGCCCAGAGACGAAGGGCAGGAGGCTGGTCTTCATGCAGCAAAGATGTGGAGTGAGCGTCTGACCATTATTACTGTTGGTGGCATGTGGTAAGGTCCCCTGAAGGCCATGGTCAAAAACCTGCCACAGTGCCAAGGGGCTGCGTGGGCATCATTCCATGTCTCAGGGCTCTAGTGAAGCCAAGCCTGACAGGGACAGTGGAGCAGAGAGGCTGCAAGCAGCCTGGTAGACCAGCTCCCAGGAGATGGTCTCCCTGCCAACTCAAGACCCCAGTCCTGCAAACAGCAGGGCTCCGGGGCTGCCCCACCCTGCAGGGCCAGGCTCAAGCAGGTCGATGTGGAGATGAAATAATTAAAAGGCACATCGTCATCCACAGCCGGGCCAGCCAGTACTGCTGGTGAGTTTAGTGGGATGACTGCTCTGAGTTCTGGAACTACAGGACAGGATTGATGGTGGACAGCTGTCCTCTCTGCTCCAGAGAAGCAGGTCTTCAACAGAAAGCCACAGCCCGGCCCTTTCTGGGACCTGCCGCACTGGGGGCAGGGTTAGCCAGACCCGTCCTTGCAACCAGAACTGAGAGCCCAGCAGGGACCCAGGTCCCCACCGAGGCGTCTTCGCCACCTGCCCAGTAGCATGAGCCACAGTGGATGGCACCTGGGAGCTGATGAGATTCTGGAACATAAGCCTCCAGCCTCATTCTTCAAACTCCACTGCCACTACCACCATGAGCACAAACATTTCAATTCGAAATCACTCAAAAATGATAATCATATTAAGGGATCTGCCAAAGTCTAATAGCTCCATTACAGAGGAGAAGAGCGGAAATTAAAAGTAATCACTTTTATTTTTGCCGTTACACAGAATATATGCACCACACACCCCAGTTGCAGCTGAGAGAGAGAGGAGACGGGCAGAGAGACAGGCGAGGACAGGGTGCGGTAGTTGAACTGTCCACGCTCTTAGCTGAGGTCAGACCCTCCACTCATCCTCTCCTGCTACTCAAGGACCTCAGTCCAGCGGTCCCCCCTCCCCTCAATACACCTGTATTACATTTTCTTATTTTCTGTATTCTTGATAATACAGAATACAGAAGGTAGATCACCTGGGGCCTCGTTGACTGAGAAGAGACCGCCCCTCCCAGGGCTGAGCCAATTCTTAGAGACAGCACATTCTTAGAGACCTGCTGGGGAGCATGCCTTTCCTATGCAAATTAAGCAGTCCCCAGCCCACGCTCCCAGCCACCCGCTCTAGATGGTCTTTATGCTCCAGGAGGCAAGAGCCCTCTGCTCTGATCATCCTGGGGCCAGGAGCCAGACAACTGGGGACAGCCCGGACCCCAGAGCCCACCCAAAGTACTCCACCTGGCCAGTCCTAAGTCTGATCAGCTGCTTACATTGCCTCACTTCTTCTTGCAAAACTATAATGAAGTCTCTGGCCCATGCTTTCCCCTCACTCCCTCTGCCTCCTAACTGACCCTAACTGCAATGACGGGGCCAGGGACTCCTGCCCCACAGATGGCCCGTCCCAGACTGAAGTCACCTGCTCGCAGCCCTGAGAGCAGGGTCTGTGCCTCTCCCTGTGTGGCGTCGAAGAGAATGTGTGTGACATCCCACCTCCCCACTGCTCCTGGCACCTGTTCCACTCAGAACGCCTTATCATCACTGCACGGAACGGGTCTGAGTAGCGGTCAAGTGCGCCTGCTCACCTGTGCACTCGTTCACCTGTCAACAGCATTACCAGGCGATGGAGGACGCCTTTGTTAGACTAAGTACCAAGCACTCGAGGAGCTAAAAACACACTAGGATGCTGTCCTAGTGGGCAAGCAAAGCAAACACGATTTTTTGTTGTTTCTTAGTAAAAACAGCTTCTGGGTGAAGCTATGGATTATGTATCTCTGTGTCTATCTCTATCCACGAGCGAGGCTGTTGGAGTGGGAAGAGCACGCACGTGTCACTGCGTGGCTGGCTGTCTCGGTCACCGCACAGGGGACAGGGCTGGGGTGTCCGCCCCTTGCTTTGCCCTGCCCACCTCTT